ATATATAAGGCTTTTATTTCAGCAGAATTTCTTGTTATTTTTATGTCTAATTCTTGATCACCTTTGCATCTCTATCTGTAAACTATCTGAAATTACAATGTGACACAGCATATGCATTAATTATTTCCGCCACTTGTCTAATTGAATATAATTTAACACTTCTTTTTACATTTTCTTCTCACTAATGTTACACCCCGCCCCCACAGGGGCCTTAGAAAAATTCAACAGATGGATGTTCATCTTTCTGTTCCCTCTGCTGTTTATGACACTTGTCTTTCTGTCACTCCACGATATTCTGCCCCCATGGGAGCGTGTACAGCTTGTGATAGCCGGTGATGTGCACACAGTTTCAGAGATGCGCGCACACACATCGGCACAATCACGCGTGTATGCAGTTGTGCACATTAACGCGGTTTCAGATGGATTTTTAAACTCTGCAGCTTCTAGCCGTCGGCTCACCCTTTCCTCTCCTCTCTCATCTCACACCTTCTTCACCGGGCCCTTCTTCTTTTTTTCTATCTTCTTCTTCTCCAGAGGGTTCCTCCTGATTTATCATTTGCTGTCAAAGTGTCTCCTGAGGCCCGGCGGGCCCTGGAGCCCCGTCTTTAACTTCACTTCAGCTGGTAAATGGGTAAACATCCCATCTTTTCAAAACTAGTGAACCCCGATTAGGTTTGCAATTAATAGTTTTAGCAGGTAAGAGGAGTTTCTATGAAAACAGGGAGTTTTTAGGGCACTTCATTGTTTGCAGTAAAATTTAAGATTTACTAAATAAAAGCAACAAAAAAAAAGGTTTGTGGCAGCATAAACCCACATTAAAAACAAAACAATTTGAGAAGAGTTGATCTGGACATGATATAAGCAAGCATGAGAGTGACTGTTGCAGTGTCCAGATTCAGAGGCCACATCCTATGAAGTGTTCCTTTGTTGACTGCGAAGACCGGAAGTGAGTGTCGGTGATTTTGGACGATCTAGTGTTCATCTTTTTTTCTTCATTAATAAAATAAATGAACAAAATTAGCATAGCAGTAGTTCATGAAAAATGGGGGGACCTGCCTGATCAGCTTGTTTACGATGATTTTCTGACAAGAGCAATGTTGGAAAACATGTTTATGCACATGACAAAAGCCTGCTTTAAACTTCTAATTGTTGTACCGCCAGATTTTAATTTAAAACTGTACTCTCATCTCACTTGTGCTTCGTCCACCATGACAAGCAAAAAAACATTTCCCAGTTGACCCACAATGCATCTTGGGATAGGGTGGGCTGAGAAGGATCCACCCAACCCATCCCTCAAATCAGGGGCAAAGAAGGATGCATTTGTGGGTTACGCATAGAGAAGAATTAGAATTTGGACAGCCTTTGATGTACACAGCCTTCAAATCAGAATCAGGTTTATTGGCCAAGTATGTTGATACAAGGAATTTATTTTTACCTTGTAAAAAGCTGTTTATATCTCCATGGTCGCGGGTCGCCACTACAGGCAGCCGCCATCTTGCACCGCCATCTTGTCCGCGAAGGCTCATGAAGGACAAACTGCGGTGGCGGCATCAAAAACGGTTTTAGCTGTAATACTATAAACGTATTATTTGTTGTCTGTCATTGTAGCTGGGATAATTTTACTTATTAAAACTCATAATCTTACCACTTGAAACATCACTAGCCCTGAAGCTGCTGGTAGACATCGCGGTTGGATTTATCAAAGGTTTTTGACACCTGAGAGACACCGTAGCAACTCCTTTGCTTTTGGAAGCAGGGGTGGGGGTGGGGGGAGGACCAGGGAGGATGATTCAACCACTCAACCACTAGATGTCGCTGAAAACAACAAATGCCTTTAAGCCCTCCACCGTAAGTCAGCATCCAACGCAGACTTGAGCAGCACGTGCAGCACCAAATCGTGTTCGACATGAAGGACGGGACGTATAAATATAAGTTCCGCATATGTTTTGTACACATAATTACTAAGTCAACACCTCACCAATAAATATAATTTCCCAAAGACTATATAAATCATGTTCAGTTCAATTCAAACTTTATTAAAGACATAGAACCATGGTTCATATTTTAAAGAGAAGAAAGGAAAAAATTAAAAAATAAAAGGTAAATAAACGATTTAAAAATGTTAAAAGTGCAATTGTTTTGAAGTTATGATACTGTTTGTTACAAATACAGTGATATCTGAAAACTCTCTAAAATGTGGGCCTAAGTTAATGTTTTCTTTGGTTTATTAAAAAAAGTGTTCGTTCTCCAGCATTCAGTCGCTGCCCGAGCTTGGACTGCAGTGCTAACATGATGACGACAGCTTCCTATTCCGGTAGTGTGAGGAGAGCCCGTCTCAAAAGAGGACGGTGTATGATTAGACCTTACAGCGCCATCAAGGGGGCTCAGTTCAGCTGCGAGGGGGCTTCACAGCGAGTGTAGGAAGTAGGACAAGGGAGTAGCCACTGACTGGGAAAAGCCGTAAGAAATTGGGTTTGATGCACAAAATAAAAATAAATAAAAACAAAATAAACTACCAGGCCGGAGCATCACTGGTAGCCACAAGCCCTAATTGACACACCTGTTTTTTTTAATTTAATAAAGTTTTTCACATTTCTGTGACCTTTTTTGTTATGTTGAGATTATGCATGAACACAAACACATTGAACACAAACACACACATCTACATTTTATTAACTTGTTCAGGGTTCCTGTAATCTGTGCACATATGAGTTTTTTAAGGAGACGAGGAACAGAGATTTATTAAGTGTTGGTCAGCCGAACAGTGAAGCATGTGTGGTGACCTGGTTGAGCAAGGTTATGAAGAGGAAGGTCACAGCTGTAAAAAAAAAATACTGACAAAGCACCAAGGGGGTAATTGATGTGTGAATAACAGGAGATGAGAAGTTCATCTATCAGTTTTATAGTTTATTTACTTCCACAGCATACAAAAAACATTAATATTTCTGAGTGAATTTTAGTGTTTTATAACCAAATACTGTTTTTTTAAAGCAGCCAGGTGTGAATTTTGATTTAATTGGTGTTAATTCAGACATTTGTTCCAGAATTGTAAATTTCACCTGGAACCTTAAGAGAGTCTGTTAAAACTGTAAAAACACATCTTGACTAATGGTTTAGTTTGATCAGGTTTGGGGTGTAACACAAACAGTAGCAGAAAATCAGCTAAATGAAGTAACAGAAAGGCAACCAGCCAGGAATTTCACTCAAAGAGCTGCCAACGTTTTCCTGCCAACCACAAACCAGAAACTAGTGCCAATACAGATGGAGCCGTCTCTGTTCCTCGCTACAGAGGAAAAAAAACTGCTTTGACTCGGTTTTAGTGTAAATGATAGATTTTATTTTCTAACCCTCTCTCTCATGTTTTACACTGTACTTGGACAATTAACGTCA